CCCCCACACACACAGCCGCTGCTCCCCGAGGCCTGGCCGAGGGGGGGGGTGGGCCAGCAAGGGTCCCCGCAGAGTGGGTGAAACCGGCTCTGCCACGCGCCCCCTCCCCGCAGCGGGGTTAGTGCCTAGGTGGACGGCTACAGGTGAGGCCTACGTGAGTCAGGTGTGCGGGAGTGACCCACCCCGCCCCAGACGCCCCCTCCCCTCCCCACCCCACCCTACAACTAAAGGCTACGAGGGGCGCCCGGGAGGCATCCAGAGGGCTCCGCTGGCGCGGCGGTCTCAGTAGTAGGTCTCCTTCTCCACCCAGCCTGCAAAGGAAGGGAGAAAGGAAGAGGTCAGCAGAGCTTGGGCCAAGCGGGGGGGCACGGGCTGCAGGAGGCCGGCAGACAACCCCCCCTCCCACTTTCAGGGGAGCAGCAAAGGCGGCCCGGCAGGGATGGGGCTTGGGGCTTCGAACTGACCCCCAGAGGATCCTCAGGGTTTGATTCCCCACTCCTCCATGTGCAGCCAGCTGGGTGACCTTGGGTCGGTCACAAGTTCTCTCAGAGCTGATCTCTTAACAGTCCTCGAAAGAGCTCTCTCAGCCCCACCTACCTCACAAGGTGTCTGTTGTGGGAGGGGAAGGGAAAGGAGTTTGTAAGCCACTCTGAGACTCCCTTGGGTAGTGAAGGGCGGGTTATAAATCCAATCTCCTCCTCCTCCATTAAGGTGTAGTGGTTTAGTGCATGGACTCTAATCTGGGAGAACCGGGCTTGATTCCCCATGCCTCAATTTGCAGCTGCTGGATGACCTTGGGCAAGCCGTAGTTCTGATAAGAGCTGTCCTTGATGTGGGGAGGGGAAGGGAAAGGAGTTTGGAAGGTGCTCTGAGACTCTCTTGGGTAGTGAAGGGCCATGGGGTATAAATCCAATCTCCTCTTCTATAACACTGTTGAGTTCATCCTCCAAAGCAGCCATTTTCTCCAAGGTCCTGTTCGAGAGCCAGTTTGGTGCCGTGGTTAAGTGCGCGGACTCTAATCTGGGAGAACTGGGTTTGATTCCCCACTCCTCCTCTTGCAGCTGGCTGGATGACCTTGGGCAAGCCGTAGTTCTGACAAGAGCTGTCCTTGATGTGTGGAGGGGAAGGGAAAGGAGTTTGTAAGCCGCTCTGAGACCCCTCTGGGTAGTGAAGGGCCACGGGGTATCAATCCAATCTCTTCTCTTCTTCTTGTCTTATATGTGCTTTGACACCCTGCCCTGCTGTTCTTGGCTGTTCTGAGCAGCATTTTCACAGAGCTGGTTTGATTTGTTTCTTTCATGGCTTCATCCGGGTGTGTGTGTGTGTGTGTGCGTGCTTCCCAACACGGTGCCCACCGGGCCACAGCTCACACCAGCCAAGGGGCTTTATAAATGTGTAAGCTGTAGCCCTGGGGGGCTTCCGCCCAGCAGGGCTTCCTGTGGGCCAGTCGAGATCTGATTGGCCGCTGGGCAGATTCAAAACAACAACAGCGGCTGCCACCGCAGTACAAGAGTCTTCACGGCATAACTGGAGGCAACTTGTGTGCCAATAAGGAAGTATTTTCAAATGTGGTACTAATTTAAAAAGGTGACCGGTTATGCCCGGCATCTGCCTCAAAAGTGGACCGGCGGCCATCAGCTATGCATCCCTCCCTCCCTCCCTGAGATCTGATGGTTGGTACTGCCTCCTGCAACAGCCATTTTGTGGCTGGCTGGCCATGCCTCGTCTGTGGCGGCACCCACCACCCCGTGTTAGACTCCCAAAGGTGCCCACGGGGTAAAAAACATCGGGGACTCCTGGCTTAACCTGCTGCCTCGGTTTTGTTCTGTTCTCACGAGCTGCACTGAGCGTGTCTGGCGCTAGCATGCCAATTGTGCTACCGTACCTGTGAGACCGCCTCTCCCTCTATGAGCCCCCCCCGAAGGGTTTTACGATCTGCCAATCAACACCTTCTGGTGGTCCCCGGGCCCAGGGACATCCCTCTCGCCTCGACTAGGCCCAGGGCCTTTTCAGCCTGGTGGAATGAGCTCCCCTACGAGATCAGGGCTCTGCGGGACCTTTTCCAGTTCCGCAGGGCCTGCGAGACGGAGCTCTTCCGCCAGCCTTTTAACTAGAGTGACGGACATCCCTCCCTCTTTCCTGGGTCTCCCCGCAGTGGGTCAGAACTGCTTACCAGGGATGGCATCTGTGAGACTTAATTCTAAGGACAACTGCACCAGCTGAAGGATATAGCTGTCATTTATTAGTGCTTTAATTGTATTTCTTACCAATTAATTTGTATTTTGTATATTGTGTTTTTATTAAATCTGATGTAACCCATCCTGAGCCTGCCATGCGGGGAGGGCGGGACGGAAGTCAAATAAAATTAAAAAATAAATAAATAGTCTAAATAAATAAACAGATCAAAAAGCAGACTGTAATTTTTTTTAAAAAAGCTCAACCCCTATTTAAAAGCCTGGGTCAGACGAAAGGCTCTGGTCTCCCACGTCAAGGAGGGGGAGTACGGGGCCAAGAGGGCGGGCGCTCCGCAGGAAGAGAAGCTGCCCCTGCTGGAAAAGCCTCGTCCGGGATCACCACCCCGCCGGCAGCGGCACAGCAGGCAGACCTCCGGAGGAGACGCAGAACGGGCCAGGTCGTCTCTCCCCCGTGGCTTAGTGGAGAGGCCCCTGCTCAGCAGGCAGAAGCTCTCCAGGTCCAGCACGAAGGTCATCGCCGGGGCCAGGGAAGGCCTTTCTGGGCCCAGAGAGGCGTTCCAGTCAGAGGAGGCTGAGCTGGATGCGGGTCCCCTCCCTGGCCCCCCCCCCCCCACACACACACCGGGGATCCAGTCACAACTGCACCACTGGCTTCCTTGCAAGGCGCCCTGCTGAGCAACTCCTCACCTTGGGTCGGGACTCGGGACAAACAGAGTTTGGCCGGGGGGGTGGGGGGGTGGGGGGGCCTAGCCCTCGGGCCGGTGCCTTCCTCCTGGGCTGCTCCTCACTACACCCCTCCCTCCGTGTGCAGCAAAACCCCGTCTCCTTCTTCCCCCCACACTTGCCTCCTCTGCCAACTCAGCTCTCACGAGAAGCCACCTTCCTCCCCCCGCCTTTCTCTTGGGCGATCCGGTCGCTGTAGAGTGATGTTGATGCCCTGGGCCCGTTGCTGCCGTGCAGACTGGGCTGAGTCGGCTCTTGCACATGGGCACCACACACACACACACACACACACACACACACACACACCCCCGTCGTCCTCTTCCTCCTCCCTCCGCGAACAGTCCGTCAGCTCCAAGCCCTTCAGGGCGCCCAGGGCCCCAGCTCCCAACTGCCATCATGGCAGCAGCTTCCGAGAGTGCGAGGGAAGGAAAGTGTGTGTGCGTGTGGGGGGGGGGGGGGGGCTTGTGCCTTTTTTGGGAGGAACCCCCCCGCCTGCAGGTCGGAAAGCTGCCTGGTGACCTCCTCGGGCACCCCCAGAAAGCAGCATGGGAAACCTGGCATAACCCCACCCCCCCACGTGCCAAGGTCACTTCCGGAAGTGACATAAGCATGTGGGGGCAGTGCCCCCCCCCTGCCAAAAACTGTCTAGCTACAGGGCTGGATGGATGGGCATGAGAAAGAGAAGGCGGCTGGACCCATTCTCTCTCCGTGTGTGTATGCCCTGCCTGTGGATCCGCAGACCCACAGGGAAGCTAGCACAACTTAGAAAGAAAAGCACAATAGAAACGTAGGCACGATTTCCCCACAACGAGAAACAGCCCAGCCAAAAGGGGGTGGCAAGAACAGCAGCAGCCCCGCCCCGCCCTGGGAGGGAGACTCACCGCCTGGATAGCGCCGGAGGAGCAGCTTCCGCACCTCGTCGTAGATGAAGATCAGCAGGCTGTAGGGGAAGGCGCAGAACCACCAGGTGACCCTGGAAAAAGGAGGCACGGAAGGCAGAGGGTCAGGAGTGGAGAGGAGAGGAAACGGGGGCCAGGAGGAGGCACTGGCAGCCTGCCCGCAGGGGCAAAACAAGCAGGGCACCTGGGACCCCTCCCCCCCGGGCACAGTGGAGCCAGGGGGCTGTGAGCCAGTGCTCAGGAGGACCTGGGCCAGGTGTCGTGAGGGGATGTGGCACAGAAGGAAACAGTATTCTGTGGGGCTGCAGAGGCCCGGCAAGCGTTGGGCGGCACCAAGAATGGGCCTTATGTGCAGGTCTCACCAGAGGACTTGGGGCACAAAGGCATGATTCCCCGAGGTGTGCAAACTGTGGGGTGACTCTCCATGGAGCCCCTGACCATAAACGCCTAGTTTCTTTACATGAAACTAAGTCCTCAGGGCCAGGTGAATTGCATCCAAAGGTACTAAAGGGTACTAAAGAACTCGCAGGTGTAATTTCTGAGCCTCTGCCCATTATTTTTGAGAATTCTTGGAGAATAGGTGAGGTGGGCAAATGTTGTCCCCAACTTCAAGAAGGGGGAAAAGGAGGATTCGGGTAATTACTGACCTGTAAGCTTGACATCGATATCCGGGAAAGTTTTAGAACAAATCATCAAACAGACCATCCTTGAGCATTTAGAAAGGACGACTGTGATTACTAAGAGCCAGCATGGGTTTCTCAAGAACAAGCCATGTCAGACTAACTTTATCTCTTTTTTGAGAAAGTTACTGCCTTGCTGGATCAGGGGAATGCTGGGGACATAACTTATCTTGATTTCAGTAAGGCTTTTGATAAGGTCCCACATAATATTCTTGTTGACAAGTTGGTAAGATGTGGTTTGGATCCTATTACTGTTAGGTGGATCTGTAACTGGTTGACAGATCACACCCAAAGAGTGCTTGTTACTGGTTCCTCTTGGAGAGGAGTGACAAGTGAAGTGCCTCACAGATCTGTCTTGGGACCTGCTTTGTTCAACATCTTTATCAATGATTTGTATGAAGGAATAGAGGGAGTGCTTATTAAATTTGCAGATGACACTAAACTGGGAGGGGTAGCAAATATGGTAGAAGACAGAGTCAGATTACAGGATGATCTTGACAAGCTGGAAAACTGGGATAAAAAATGAATTTCAATAGGGATAAATGTAAAGTTATTTAGGTAGGAAAAACGAAATGAATAACTATAGGATGGGGGAGACTTGTCTTGGCAGTGCTATGTGTGAAAAGGATCTAGGGGTCTTAGTAGATCATACACTGACAGCAATGCTGATTCTATGAATTTAGGCAGATTATGGGAAAGGAGAGCAAGGAGGGTGGCCCTTCCTTCCATGCCCAGGGAAATGCTGATGGCCACTTTGGGGTCAGGAAGGAATTGTTCTCCAGGCCAGTTTGGCCCCCGGGGATCCTGGCCATAGAGCAGGGGTCACTGGGGGTGTGTGGGGGGAGGCGTTTATGAATCTCCTGCATTGTGCGGGGGGTCAGACTAGATGATCCCGCAGGTCCCTTCCAACTCTGTGATTCTTTGATTCTATGATCTGCCTGCCGCCCAGGCTGCTGGCCTTGTGAACTCCAGGTTGGGAAATTCCTGGAGATTTTGGTTGTGGAGCCTGGGGACCAATGTTCCCTCTAAGCTGTGGAGTCTTGTGAGCAAAAATTCTACTTGGTGAGCTACTAGCATTAAAGCTGTGAGCGAGCAATTTGGGTACTGCATAAATTAGTCTGCTCTGGAGCCCTCCTTCCTGAGCGAAGACAAAAAATGTGTGAGCTGGAGGCTAAAAAACGGTGAGCTACCTCACACTAACTCAGCTTAGAGGGAACACTGCTGGGGAGGGTGGGGTTTGGGGAGGGACCTCTGCAGGGATTCATAATGCCGCCACACGGAGTGTCCACCCTCCAAAGCAGCCGTTTTCGCCAGGGGAGGGGGGGGAGAGTGATGCCTGTCCTCTGGAGAGCGGTGGTAGTTTCAGGAGATCTCCAGGCGCCACCAAGAGGCTGGCGGCGGTAACTGCCCCAACGGCCGAGCCACTTACTTGAGGGGGTACATGCGCAGAGCCACCCCCATGCCCGGGCAGTAGGACAGGAAGGCAGCCAGAGCGGTTTCTTCAAGGAGGCCAAAGATCAGGATTTTGTTCCTGGAGAGGGGAAAGAGCAGGAGGGTCACCAGCGGGGGGGGGGAAAGAGGCCAAAAGAGCACCACCCCAGCCCGGTGCTCCGACCCCCACCGCCCACTCTAGCCCAGTGAGATCCGGGGAAGCTGGAACGGCCTTCCCTTGCACTGGCATCAGAGGCATCCCCCCCCCCCCGAGGACTGGCTCTCTTCTCTGGGCCGTGCAGCAGCACAGTAAGGAGCCACCCTGAGCCCCTCCCTCCCCATCCACGGCCTCATCGCCCTTCCCTCCGGCCCTGTGGCCAGTATCCTTGAGGGGCTCTGGGAACCAGAAAGACACCCAGGATGCTGCAGGGGTGGCACCGAGTGCGAGGAACGGGGAGGCCCAAGCTGCATTCCGGACACCCGGTCCCGTCCCCCCAGCTGCCTTCCCCAAAGGCCACCCCCACACACCCCTGGCTCACTTCATGCCCTGCTGGAAGACGGAGTTCCGCCGGGTCTTGCAGATGATGAGATCGGCCCACTGCACCACCACGATGCTGGCAAAGAAGGCCGTGTGGCAGGTGAACTCCACCACCTTGCGCTGCTCGTAAGTCTGTGAAATTGGGGGGGGGGAGGGCAGAGGAGGCACCGTGGTTGGGCATGGGTGGACAAGAAGTGGCCCTCCCGCACAGGGGTCACTTCGTAGAACAAGAGGTGCAGGAGCTCATTAGCATAACTCATTTGCATATGCCACACACCCGACATCACCGGAAGTGTGTCAGAAGGCAACGCCCACCGCTCAGGCTCCACTGGACTCTTTTGGATTGCTAGCTATTGGGGGGGGGGGACGTGCAGATCTGCCCTCACAGAGGAGGGAGAGCTTGTACCTGAATAAGACTTGGTCTTAAAGGTGCCACTGGACTGTCTTGGATTGTTAGCTATTGGGGGGGGGGGGGAAGTGAGATACCTCGCGCACCTTAAAGGTGCCACTGGACTGTTTTGGATTGCTAGCTATTGGGGGGGTGGGGGAACGTGCAGATCTGCCCTGGCAGAGGAGGGAGAGCTTGTACCTGAATAAGACTTGGTCTTAAAGGTGCCACTGGACTGTTTTGGACCGGGGGGCCAGGGGGGGGCTCTGCAACTTACCTGGTTGCTTCTTGCTCTGACTGAGGGCTGCGGGAAGCAGGGGGTGGGGCTTGTTGCATGTGCCCACCCCCTGAGCTCTTTACTGCCGGAGCTCTGCTCCTGTGCGCTCCTGCAGCAAATGACCCCTGCTTCCCGCATCAGGCCAGTCCAGCCGGCCCTTGGGGGCTCTCATAGGTCAGCCAGGAAGGATCTAGCACGTGGTGCTCCCCGAGGCATGCTGTGTATGGACGCGGAGGAGGCCCCGTTAAGGCTCAGGGCTCTCACAGCCGTCAGCCGGCGCATCCCCCACTCACCCACTCCTGGCCGTAGGTGTCCTCCAGGTCATTCTTGGAACGGTCGTCCCAGTCCAGGCGGATGCCCAGCAGAGTGGCTGGAAGGAAGCCGTTTTCCGCCAGGATCACAAAGTAAGTGAAGAAGCCACCCAAGGCCTGGATCATGCCTGGGGAAAGGGGGCCAAGGTGAGGTCTCCGGCCGGTCTGAACGGCTCCTGCCCTTCTCTGGGTGAGGCGCCAACGTCTCCTTAGGTCAACTCCAAAAGTATTTCATACAAAGTCAAGAGCTCCAAGCCAGAGTTACAATAGAGCACATAAAGTTCCCAAACTCTCAAAATGCAGCAACCATGAACTACAAACCAAGGCTACAGTGTAACACTACTACTTCCGAAGTTCTCCATATGATGAAATTATATAACAGATCAACAGTTGGAAGTTATGCAGCGACATGTACCCTCGGCATGTAAACATGTTTCCGTCCTCTTTTTCAAGGCTGCATCTCCCTTTCGTTGTGGAGGAGGAGGAGGAGAATGGATTGAATCAACCCAGTTTTCCCAGGTTAGAGTCCGCACGCTTAACCACCACACCAAACTGGCCACCGATATGCTGCACCGATATGCTGCACCGAAGCAGCTGATAGCTGGGAGGCTACTAGTTGAAAAAGATTTCCTAGAGCATGGGGGTCAAACATGGGGCCCAGGGGCCCCTTCAGGCCCTAGCTGTCTTCTGCTTCTTCTTCCAGTTCTGCTGCTGCTGCATCATCGTAGGTTTGCAGCTTACAGAGACACACCTGAACAGCATACTCAAGAACAGCATACTCGGTCCGATGCTTTTTAACTTGTTCATTAATGATTTGGAGTTGGGAGTAAGCAGTGAAGTGGCTAAATTTGCGGATGATACGAAGTTGTTTAGGGTGGTGAAAACCAGGGAGGATTGTGAGGCACTCCAAAGGGATCTGTCAAGGATGGGCGAGTGGGCATTAACGTGGCAAATGGGGTTCAGTGTGGCCAAGTGCAAGGTGATGCACACTGGAGCCAAAAATCCTAAATATAAATACACGTTGATGGGCTCTGAACTGGCAGAGACTGACCAAGAGAGAGATCTTGGAGTCGTAGTGGATAACTCACTGAAAATGTCGAGACAGTGTGCGACTGCAATAAAAAAGGCCAATGCTATGCTGGGGATTATTAGGAAGGGTATTGAAAACAGATCAGCCAATATCATAATGCCCCTATATAAATCAATGGTGCGATCTCATTTGGAATACTGTGTGCAGTTCCGGTCACCACACCTTAAAAAGGATATTATAGCTTTGGAAAAAGTGCAGAAAAGGGCAACTCGAATGATCAAAGGGTTGGACCACTTTCCCTATGAGGAAAGGTTAAAGAGCTTGGGGCTCTTTAGCTTGGAGAAACAACGGCTGAAGGGTGACATGATCGAGGTTTATATGATTATGTGTGGGATAGAGCAGGTAGAGAAAGAGCTCCTTTTCTCCCTTTCTCACAAGACAAGAACTCCTTGTGGGCACTCCATGAAACTGCCGAGCGGTCGGGTTAGAACGGATAAAAGGAAGTCCTTCTTCACCCACAGAGTGATTAACAGATGGAATTCACTGCCACAGGAGGTGGCAGCAGCTACAAGCAGGGACAACTTCAAGAGGGAATTAGATAAGCACAAGAAGTGGGACCCGCAATACTTGGGGGGGGGTATTCCCCACAGCTCCCGGGTGGCTCACCTGCTGAAGCAGCAGGAGCTCCGCACAGAGGAGGATGTGGTAGCAGCTAAAGGTGAGTCCAGCAGGCGGTCCGTTGGGCTCGCCTGGATCCCCCCCCACTCAATGACAACAACAACGGCTGCGGCTGAGTCTAGCCACCGGCCCTCCAAGGTTTCTCCCCCCCAGTCACCGCGGCCGCGAGCATCAAAGGCGGTGAGCCCTGTGCGGCTCTTCTCCCTTCTTCCCCGCTGCCTCCGCCAGCAGCAACGGTGGCAAGCCCTGCGCGGCTCCTAGCCACTGGGCCGGCCAGGGTCCCCCCCCCAGCAATGGCCGCGGCTCCCAGCCACCGGCTGCCAAGGCTTCTCTTCCCGCGCCGCCAGCAGCCACCATTCCTATTGGTAAGTGCTTTCTCTGTGCATGCGCAGGGAAGGCTCTTTTACTTCTGGGGGGATTTAAATATCCCCTGTATACTTTTTTCAACTTTTCAGATTTTTCTGCACATCTGGGGATTTTCCCAAATGTGCAGGAAAATCTCTTTGCCCCCTAGGTGCCCCCGATGTGCGGATTTAGATATCTGCATGCAGGGGGCGCCTTGGCTACTAGATATATAGATATGGAGCAGAGGTCCATCAGTGGCTATTAGCCACAAGGTATAGATAGGGACTCTGGGGCAAGTGATGCTCTGTCTTCTTGGTGCTTGGGGGGGGCAACAGTGGGAGGGCTTCTGGTGTCCTGGCCCCACTGCTGGACCTCCTAAGGACACCTGGTATTTTGGGGCACTGTGTGACAGAGTGTTGGGCTGGATGGGCCATTGGCCTGATCCAACATTGGCTTCTCTCTTATGTTCTTAAGGGAATTAGATAAGCAAATGGAGCAGAGGCCCATCAGTGGCTATTAGCCACAAGGTATAGATAGGAACTCTCAGGTTGGGGCAAGGCTGTCATCTTGGTGCTTGGGGGTGGGGGGCAGCAGTGGGAGGGGCTTCTAGTGTCCTGGCCCCACTGCTGGACCTCCTGATGGCACCTGGTATTTTTGACCACTGTGTGATAGAGTATTGGACTGGATGGGCCATTGGCCTGATCCAACATTGGCGTCTCTTATGTTCTTAGGTTCTTATTGCAACGGCACAGACATTTTGATGTAATAATTCAGAGCAAGAGGTGTCAGTTATCAGACACTGTTAAATAAAAAAAATATTGCAAGACTGCTGATGTTTTAAGCATGTTTTTATTTTAAGTTTAAAAAAACCCCTTTGTGTCTGTGTCCTTTATAAAGTTTATATCTCTGCTACCTGGCGTTGCATTTTATGACACACAAGGCACGGCTCAACAAGGTCTCATTTATGTCAGATCTGGCCCTCATAAGAAATGAGTTTGACACTCCTGTCCTAGAGCATTGGTTCCGACTTGAATTTTGATCTCCACGACAGAAGGAAGACGGGCTTTGAAAAAGAGGATAGAAACATGTTTACATGCCCAGGATACACGTCACCGCATAACTTCCAATTGTTGATCTGTTCTATAAATTTGTCATATCGGAACTAGTAGTGTTACATGGCAACCTTGATTTATAGCTCATGAATGTTGCATTTTGAGAGTTTGGGAACTCTGGCTTGGAGCTTCTGACTTTGTCTTAAAAACTTTTGGGATTGGTACAAGAAAACTTTGATAACGGAATATATGTCAAGAATATGCACTCGTTTGGTATTTCAAAATATTTAAGTATATTGATATGAGGCTTGTTCATTTGCAGTGTTCGTTTGTTTTTGATAATTGGCACACTGTGTTTCCCACTTGTTTCATCTACTTTTCTGGACCAGGGCAGAATCGTCACGGGCCGGCTGGCACTCTACGCTGCCAGCATGGCATTGCAGTCAGGTGGGAGGCAGCCGGGGGCAGGAGGCGTGGTGGCAGGGCAGACTCCCCTGCGCCACCCCCCACCCACCAGGATGGATTTGGACCTGGGCCTCATTCTCCCCCTCAGCAGCAACCTTTGGGGCCCAGCAGAGGAGCTTGTGGCTGGCCTTCCTTGCTCAAGGGAGCTGGAGTCCCAGGGGAGGCACACAGACTTGGAGAGGAGAAACCTCTGCAGCCCCAGGCAGTTCATAGAATCACAGAATGTTAGAGTTGGAACTGGGACCTTGCAGGTCATCTAGTCCAATCCCCTGCCCTCTGCAGGAGCACAGCCGAAAGACAGCCCTACCTTACCATACTCGAAAGAGGGTTGTCCAGCCTCCGCTTGAAAACGTCCAGCGAAGGAGCACCCACCACCTCCTGAGGCAGACTGTTCCACTGCTCAACCACCCTTACAGTTAGGAAGTTTCTCCTGATATTTAGCCAGTAACGACTCCCTTGTAATTTCCACCCATTAGATCTAGTCTTGCAATTCGGAGCAAGAGAGAATAGATCTGCTCCATCTTCTCCATGACAGCCCTTCAGATACTTGAAGACTGCAATCGTGTCCCCTCTAAGCCTTCTCTTTCCCAGGCTAAACAGACCCAACTCTTTCAGCCTTTCCTCATAAGACTTGGATTCCAACCGTCTCACCATCCTGGTTGCCCTCTTCTGGACACGCTCGAGCTTGTCAACATCCTTCCTAAAATGTGGTGAGGCCTGACCATAGCAGAATAGAGCGGAACTACCACCTCCCGTGACCTGGACACAATCCTTCTGTTAATGCATCGCAAGATTGCATTCGCTTTCTTCGCAGCCACATCGCACTGCAGGCTCATGTTTAGCTTGTGATCAACCAGAACACCCAGATCCCTTTCACAGGTGCTGCTGGGGAGGGAGGGGCCAGGCTCACTCACCAATCTGACCGTACGCCATGCTGATGAGGCGCTCATTCACCAGTTTGTCCGTCTTGGAGTTCCGGGGCTGCCTCTTCATGATGTCACTCTCTGCAGCCTCATAGGCCAGGGAAATAGCCGGGACCTGAAAAGCAACCAACGATGGATTGCTCCGAGGTTGTGTCCAATGCTCCCTCTAAGCTGTGGCGACTTGTGAGCGAAAATCCTACTTTGTGAGCTCCTGGCTCTAAAGTTGTGAGCGAGCGATTTGGCTGCTGCATTAAATCAGTTTGCTCTGGAGCCGTCCTTCCTGGGCTACGACAAAAATCTGTGAGTTGGAGGCTAAAAACCTGTGAGCCAGCTCACACTGACTCAGCTTAGAGGGAACACTGGTTGTGTCTCCACATCAGAGGTGTTTCTGTACATCAGGGGTCCCTAACCTTTTAAAAACGGTGGGTACCTCTGTGTTTCTGACACAACACGGTCAGCACAGCCCCAAAATGGCTGCTGTAGGAGGCGGAGCCAGCCACAAAATCGCTGCCACTGCTTACCTTCAGTCACACAGTTAAGACCCTCATGCGGGGGGGTGGGGGGGCATTTGCCGCCAAAGCCACAGTTTAAGAAATCTTCACAGCCAATCGCAGCCAATCAGATCTCCAGTGGTCGATCAGAAGCCTTACTGGGCAGAAGCCCCCGGCCCGGCCCACACCCTGTTGGGGACGCCTGCTAAGCACTTATAGGGAGAAGCTCACGTCCACACTGGAGAAGGCCACGGTAGGATTTTTGGGGAAGACGTCTGAGCCAGATCAGGGCCCCAGTCCAGGCCCCGCGGCGACACTCACCATGTCCGTGCCGAGGTCAATGCACAGGATGGTGACGGTGCCCAGCGGCAGCGGAATATTGATTATGATAAAGAGGAGGAAGGGGGTGATCTCTGGAATGTTGCTGGTCAGGGTGTAGGCGATGGACTTCTTCAGGTTGTCAAAGATCAGGCGGCCTGCCGGACACAGGGGACGTGAGGAGGCCCAGTGTGGGGGGGAGCCCCCTCTCTCCCTCGGGCCCTCCCCTTTAGGGGGAGGTGGGCCCCTCACCTTCCTCCACGCCCGTCACGATGGAGGCGAAGTTGTCATCCAGGAGGATCATGTCCGCGGCCTGCTTGGAGACGTCGGAGCCGGAGATGCCCATGGCGATGCCGATGTCTGCCTTCTTCAGGGCGGGGGAGTCATTCACGCCGTCTCCGGTCACAGCCACAATGGCTCCCTACGCGGCAGGGGAAATGTTGGGGCTGGGGGGGGGGGGGGGAGTGGGGGGGGGGTGGGGGGGGGGGGGTCAGCCAGGCTGCCCTGGTGCTGGGAGCGGGGAGTGGAATGCTGTGTCGGGTGCACTTTGGTTCCCTGAGACTTGCTCCCATACTAGGTTGCGTGAGACCCACTAGATGGCTGAGGGCTTCAGGAACAACCCCCCCCCCAAACCTGCTTGAGCCGAGGCCTTCGCAGGACAGCAGAAGTGCTCCTCGGGCCCAGGACACATAGCCCTGTGGCTCTCCCGGGGGGTGGGGGGAGACTGCCCAACTGGATACACCTGAGACTTATTCCATCACCAATAGATCTGTTTGCCCCCCTTGTGTCTCCAGAGGAACTACCTGAACTGCGTGTCCAAACAAACCAGGCTGCTGGCAGGGGATTCTGCGGGGTCAGCTGGAGAGGTTGGCCCTCCAGCCCTGGATGGACTCTGTCAGGAGGGGGCCTGGGGATGCTGTGAAAGGCCCTCCTGCCCCCCAGGCCCCGAATCAGGCTGTCCTCCTCCCTCGCCTGTCTTCAGGCAGACTGACGTGGCCTCCAGGTTGAGGGCCCTGCTGCAAGCCAAGCCGCCTCTCACCTGACGCTGGCAGCCCTCCACAATGATGAGCTTCTGCTGGGGGGAGGTGCGGGCGAAGACGATCTCCGTGTGGTTCTTGAGGAGCTCGTCCAGCTGCTCGGAACTCATGTCCTTGAGGTCGGAGCCATGGACCACGCAGGCCTTGGCTTCCCTGGAAGGATGGACCGAGGCAAGGGGGGGCAGGTCATGCCGGGGCCATGCGAGAGGTGTGCGCGGTTGCGTGGGGAGGACCCCCCGGTCGGCTAAAGGGCTGGCCTACCTGGGGTTGACCTGGCTGACAGGGATGTTGAGGCGGGCTGCAATGTCCTCCACGGTTTCATTCCCTTCTGAGATGATGCCCACGCCCTTGGCGATGGCCTTGGCCGTGATCGGGTGGTCACCTGTCACCATGATCACCTGCGGGAAAGAAGAAGAAAAGATTGGATTTATATCCCATGGCCCTTCACTCCCCACAGGAGTCTCAGAGCGTCCTACAAACTCCTTCCCCTCCCCACAACAGACACCCCGTGAGGTAGGTGGGGCTGAGAGAGTTCTGACAGAAACGGCTTTTTTCAAGAACAGCTCTGACAGGACTGTGGCTTGCCCAAGGTCATCCAGCAGCTGCAAGTGGAGGAGTGGGGAATCAAACCTGGTTCTCCCAGATTAAGAGTCCGTGCACTTCACCACTACACCAAAGAGGCCGAGGCAGCGGTGGTCAGAGCGAGGTGTAGCCCCAACGCCAGCAGAGGCCAGTGGACAGGAAGGAGGCTGGATCCCCGAGACTGAGTCAGTCCCAGGAGCATCTGTGCAGGATAGACCCGGACACCCACGGGGTACTCCTTCAATCAAGGACTGCACACTTAGGGACTTTCCCGTCCCACCGTTGCCACCATTACAACATACACGTGGGCAACACAACTGTACAGCCGCTGCATCCACTAGGAAGGTCAACTGCACACTGGGAGGCTTCTGCTGTTTTTCCAGATGCCCCCCCCCCCCCCGCTCCCCCCCCCCCCGTTCTCCTCCCAGCCGCACTTCCTGGCAGTTTTTGAGCCCTCCTGGCTAGCAAGGGTGGGGGTCAAACTAAGGGGCACGGGAGGACTTACATTCCCGTCCCCCCAAGCCAGGCTGCCCTTTTCGCATCACAAAGAGGGCCGAGGGTCTGTTGGGCACCTTCCCCTTCCCCTGCCACGTGCCATTGTGTCCTTGCTTGGCTTGGACCCACGTGGCTCTTAAGCCGGTGGGCCTGAGAGGCACGGCCGGCTACATCACGTGCCCCCTGCCTCTGCATCCTCCCTCTGGCTTGAGATAAAGGAGGCACCAGCCCTGCTTGGTCCCTTACTCTGAGCCCCCCGCAGTGGTCCAGATGGGGAGCTTGCCCACCCTCCGCCCCACAGGAGCCTAAGTAGCGGGGGGGGCTCCCCTCCCTTTCCCCTCTGGACAGCTGGCACAGGGGGATTAAGGGCACAGAGGGATAACTGGGGACACCAGCTTCGCCTTAAGAGGACAAAAGGTTGAAGCCGAAGGCAGCGAGGGGCAGAGACACGGGGGAGGCCCTCTGGGCAGGGAGTGGCTTTCCTGTTCCAGCAGGAAAGAAGGACTCTGCCTGGGACCAGCATGGCTGCCGCCGACGCCCTCCTCCTCCTCCCCCTAGGGGATTGAGCAGTACCTTGATGCCGGCGCTCCGGCATTTCCCCACGGCGTCTGGCACTGCGGCCCGAGGCGGGTCGATCATGGACATGAGTCCCACAAAGCAGAGTTTCGTGATGGGAAAGTTGATCTCGTCGGCATCGAACTTGAAACCACGAGGGAACTTTTTTTCGGGGAGGTAGACATGGCAGAATCCTAGGGTGGGTGGAAGGGCAAGGCTCTGTGGGGGAAAGCACTGTGGGGGCCGGCAGGGCCCGCCAAGGCCCCCTTCCCTCACAGAGACGACTCCCACTGTGGCTCACACACACAGGCGTAGACTGGGGGGGCTCGGGGGCTGAAGCCCTCCCGAAATTTTCCTGGGGGGACTGATCCTCCCCCGGGGCAACCAATGCCAGCCAGCGTTCCCATTGAGAACTGCTCCCCCAGCCATGGCACCGTGCAGCCCAAAGAACAAGGCACGCCAAAGGGCCTGGCCCACTCACCCCTCATCTCAGCCTGGGCAGGGGCGGCCTGGCTGACTTTCTCCCCCCCCCCCACCGCCCTGCTCCCGCTCGTCCCCACCTCCTCCTCAGGGTCAAGGGAGGCAGAAAGGACCCGTGGCGAACTTGGCGGGCGGCTTGGTGGAGCACGTGCAAGAGCTGCAGGATAGTGAAGGAGCACCCGCCACCTCCCGAGGCAGTCTGTTCCACTGCAACCCCTCTTACTGTTAGGAAGTTTCTCCGGATATTTAGCTGCTAACGACTCCCTTGTCATTTCCACCCATTGGAACTAGTCTTGCAATCCGGAGCAAGAGAGAATAGATCCGCTCCATCTTCTACATGGCAGCCCTTCAGATACTTGAAGACTGCAGTCATGTCCCCTCTAAGCCTTCTCTTTCCCAGGCTAAACAGACCCAACTACTTCAGCCTTTCCTCGTAAGACTTGGATCCCAACCCTCTCACCATCCTTGTTGCCCTCTTCTGGACACGCTCGAGCTTGTCAACATCCTTCCTCAAATGTGGTGCCCCAAACTGGACACGGGACTCCAGGTGGGGCCTGACCATAGAAGGATAGAGCGGAACGACCACCTTCCGTGATCTGGACACGAGGCTTCTGTTAATGCATCGCAAGACTGCATTCGCTTTCTTTGCAGCCACATCGCACTGCAGGCTCCTGTTGGGCTTGTCATCCACCAGAACACCCAGGTCCCTTTCACGTGTGCTGCTGGATTAGACCCCTCGCCACCCATCGCTCTGGAACGCCAAACTGTGCTGGCTCCTTGGTGGAAGGAGGGCCTGTCCTTCGGCCCCTGCCTCCTGCCCCCCCTGACCGTCCCTGGCTGGCTCTGGGCACCCCTTCCGCCCAGTGCCCCCCCCCCGGCTTGCCCCCGGCCTCCTCACCTAGCACCCTCTCGCCCAGCCCACCCAGCTCGAGGTAGGCGTTCTGGAAGGCGTCCCGCAACTCATCATCGAGGGGCTTCTCCTGCCCTTGCAGCAGGATGGTGGAGCAGCAGTCCAGGATCCTCTCGGGAGCCCCCTTCATCACCAGGATGTGGCCTTTGGGCCGGTCTTCCGCTTCGTGGATGGACAGCTGCAGCACATGAGAGAGAACTGAGCGGGACTCCGCCAGGGAAGAAGGGGCGGGGCCCCCCCACTGAGGTTGAAACCCTGGGGGGCTCTTTGGCCTGGAGAAACGATGGCTGAGGGGTGACACGATCCAAAGCTGACAAGATGATGCGTGGGATAGCGGAGGTGGAGAAAGAGGTACTTTTCTCCCTTTCTTACAATAGAAGAACTCGTGGGCACTCCATGAAACTGCTGAGCAGTCGGGTTAAAATGGATAAAAGGAAGTCCTTCTTCACCCAAAGAGTGATGAACACATGGAATTCACTGCCACAGGAGGTGGTGGCGGCTTCAAGAGGGATTTGGATAAGCATATGGAGCAGAGGTGCATCAGTGGCTATTAGCCAGAAGGTATAGGTAGGAACTCGCCGTCTGGGGCAAGTGATGCTCTGTATTCTTGGTGCTTGGGGGGAGGCCAAGAGTGGGAGGGCTTCTAGTGTCCTGGCCCCACTGCTGGACCTCCTGATGGCCCCTGGTATTTCTGGCCACTGTGTGACCCAGAGTGTTGGACTGGATGGGCCTTTGGCCTGATCCAACATTGGCGTCTCTTATGTTCTTATATTCTTAAGAGGGAATTGGATCAACATATGGAGCAGAGGTCCATCAGTGGCTATAGGTAGGAACTCTCAGTCTGGGGCAAGGGATGCTCTGTATTCCTGGTTGCTTGGGGGTGGGGGGACAACATTGGGGGGGGGCTCCTAGTGTCCTGGCCCCACTGCTGGGCCTCCTGATGGGACCTGGTATTTCTGGCCACTGTGTGACACAGAGTGTTGGACCGGATGGACCACTGGCCTGATCCGACACTGGCTTCTCTTAGGTTCTTATGTTCTACCTGCTCCTGGGATGGGGGGGGGGGATCCCATGGGGACACCCAAAGATCCCACTGGGAGATGAACAGTGGGCACAGCAGTTCTGTGGAGGGACCCTGGCTGGGCAGAAGAGCCGTCCGCTTGGTACGCAGAAAGTCACAGGGACATGTGAAGCTGCCTGCTACTGAATCAGACCCCCACCTCACCCCAGTCCGTCAAGGCAGAACAGGATGGGTAGAGCCCTGTGAGTTTGTCTGTAGCAGCAGAAAAAAAACATGAATCCAGGAGCACCTGAGAGACTAACAAAATTCGCAGCAGGGGAGGAGCTTTCCTGAGTCAGGAAACTTACAAGAGCTCCTCCCCTGCCACAAATTTTGTTAGTCTTGAAGTTGGCTCCTGGACTCTCTTTGGTGTCGTGGTTAGAGTGTGGACTCTAATTTGTAAGAACCAGGTTTGATTCCCCCACTCCTCCCCTTGCAGCTGCTGGATGACCTTGGGCAAGCCACAGTTCTGACAAGAGCTGTTCTTGAAAAAGAGCCAGTTTCATGCCGTGGTTAAGTGCGCGGACTCTAATCTGGGAGAACCGGATTTGATTCCCCACTCCTCCACTTCCACCTGGCTGGATGACCTTGGGCAAGCCCTAGTTCTGACAAGAGCTGTTCTTGAAAAAGAGCCATTTCTAGTCTGAAATTTTTAGAGAGGATAAGTGGAATTAGCACTCTTTGACAGTCTGCATGGTTTTAATTGGTTGAAGGGATAATGATCTACTGAAACTGGAACTTTTAAGCTGTTGAGAACTGTTTATCTATTATGTGTTTCTACACCTGACTTACATTGTTATTTGATACCCAATTGATTTATGAATATAACCTGAAGCAAAGTACCTCCAACTTTTGCATTGTACTGACTGACTAATGAAAGCTATAAAACATGGACTTTTAATTTGAAATATTTTATTTTCTGTACATGTGATGTCCTAATTGAAGAAGGATGAAAAGATATGGGCAGTCTGAATTTTTAGAGAGGAATTGCAGGGGAAATATAATTAAAAGGTTACTTATCTAGAGAGAAGACCAGATGTTTCAGGACAAGGTGTAAACTATATGGCTTTGTCAGTGTGAGAGCTGGATTGTAGGGAACATATAACATATTTTTTAGAGGGTCTGAAATTCTGCTAGTTAATGGGATTTTGAAAACTAACAGTGTTAAAAATGTGAAAGAATATTTAAAGGGAACAGATTGTTAATTTAGAAGAAATATATGCTTTCTTTAGCATAGTTAAACGGATAAGTTATGACTGTTTCTTTTCTGTTGTTTTTATATTGACATAAAATAGAATAATAATAGTACAGTACTGATAAAATGAAATATAGCAGATAGAATATTGATGAATTGGTTTTACAAAGGGAATAGATACTTGGTTTAATAGTGTATGTTACTGAATACAAAATAAAACAAGGGGGGGAAATGGGAAGCTGTATGCAAATATGATGATGTGAGCGAGATATTCGGCTTGCTATTTTAAAATGTATGGCTCTCTTCTATGTAAATTGTTAAAAAATAATAATAAACTTTGCCCAATTTGGGTAAGTCAAAAAGAAAAGAAAAGAAAAAGATCAATTTCTCTCAAGAGCTCTCTCAGCCCCACCTACCTCACAGGGTGTCCGTTGTGGGGAGGGGAGGGGAAGGGAAAGGAGTTTGCAAGCCGCTCTGAGACTCCTTTGGGTAGTGAAGGGCCATGGGGTATAAACCCAATCCTCCTCCTCCTCTTCCTCTTCTGCTACAGACTGACATGACCACCAGTGACTCACCAAAGCTCCTCCCTGCCACAAATTTTGTGGAGTCTTTCAGGTGCTCCTGGAGTCTGACTCTTTTCTATTGGTCCATCAAGGTCAGTATTGTTTACTCAGACTGGCAGCCGCTCTCCAGGGTCTCAGCCAGAGGTCCTTTGTGTCCTCTACCATCTGACCCTTTCACCGGGAGGAGGTGCTGGGGACTGGAACCTGGGACCTTTTGTACACCTAGCAGAGGCTCTTCCAGTAAGGCACAGCCCTGAGCCACAGTCCCCAGATCAATCCAGGTAGAGTGGTCAGGTGTCTGATGCAGGAGAAGGCAGCTTCACAGGTGACTCGTTTCCATGGAAAACCGTCAGCCACTCAGATTTTTCCTTTCTTGGCCAGAGTTCCACCTTGGAAGCGGAAAGGTGTCCTGAAACTGAAGCCGGAGGGGGTGATTCTAGGCCAGTCCCCACAGCGGCCGCGGCCTGTCGCCTGGGCAGTGCTGCCCCCCAGTGGTGCCTCCCAGCCATTGCACACGAGGAGTTCAGCCAGGAGAAACGGCACATGGCCGGGGGCCCTTGATTAAAAACAGGAGACACGAAGCGAAGTTTGTTTCTTGCAACCCTCAGAAATAATTAGTAACTTATTAATTTACTTTCTTTTTTCCTGATATTGAGTTGCCACATAGGTTACAAATGCTAAAATCTATCCTGAAGTCATTAGTTGCTGTAGATTTTCCGGGCGGTGTGGCCGTGGTCTTGGCATTGTAGGACCTGACGTTTCGCCAGCAGCTGTGACTGGCATCCTCAGAGGTATAACACAGAAAGACGGAGGACTCTCTGTGTCAAGGTGAGAAGAAAAATGGTAAGCAGGTGGTTTATATCTACTCCAGAAGGTGGGGTAGGGCTGAGTCATTGTCTGTAGGAGTTAGATTCAGCCCTACCCCACCTTCTGGAGTAGATATAAACCACCTGCCTACCATTTTTCTTCTCACCTTGACCCAGAGAGTCCTCCGTCTCTCCGTGTTATACCTTTGAGGAGGATGCCAGTCACAGCTACTGGCGAAACGTCAGGTCCTACAATGCCAAGACCACGTCCAGACAGCCCGGAAAATCTACAGCAACTAATGAAATCCAGCCGTGAAAGCCTTCGACAACATATCCTGAAGTCCATGAAAAAAACCCAAAAGTGTACTTGGTGCTTGGGGGGGGGGGCAATAGTGGGAGGGGCTTTCTAGTGTTCTGGCCCCACTGGTGGACCTCCTGATGGCCCCTGGTATTTCTAGCCCCTGTGTGACCCAGAGTGTTGGACTGGAGGGGCCATTGGCCTGATCCAACATTGGCTTCTCTCTTATGTTCTTATAGATGGAACACTCTGTCTGGGGCAGGTGATGCTCTGTATTCTTGGTGCTTGGGGGGGGGGCAACAGTGGGAGGGCTTCTAATGTCCTGGCCCCACTGCTGGACCTCCTGAGGGCCCCTGGTATTTCTGGCCCCTGTGTGACCCAGAGTGTTGGACTGGAGGGGCCATTGGCCTGACCCAACATGGGTTTCTCTTATGTTCTTAACAGTGGGAGGGGCTTCTGGTGTCCTGGCCCCACTGCTGGGCCTCCTCCTGATGGCCCCTGGCGTTTTTGGCCACTGTGTGACACAGAGTGCTAGACTGGATGGGCCACTGGCCTGATCCGGCATGGCTTCTCATATGTTCTTAAGATGCTCTGTACGGGAATCTTAAGTTTCGTTTCTTCCCTGCTCTTCTTATCTATGTAGACTCAGCCGGTGACCTTGGTACCTTGTTACAGCTTTCCCCTGAGAACGTAGACCCGTTAGGTTAGGCGGGCTTTTGCTTGTTCCCCGACTGGACCCGGGCCATCGAGGGACCCCTCTGAATGAGGTATAACTCCACACTGAGCGCGCTTTCCAGTAGTTCTAACACAGAATGTATGCCCAGAGGACCTGCCTTTACTGTCCTCAATAAACTTTACTCTTCTGAATGAAATTTGTTGGGAACTGATTGCTGCGGGGATCTGACACCGTGGAGTTTGGCTTCCCAGGAATCCGGGTTTCCTTTTTGTTTTTTAAAAAATGGGCGGGGGAGGGGGAGAGATCAAGTTTCTAGCTCTCACAGCTTATTTATTTATTTACTTGACATCTTTTTCTCCCAGTGGAGACCGGAAGCCGCTTATGTCATTCTCCTGTCCTTTGTTTTATCCTCACGACAACTCTGTGAGGTAGGTCTGGCTGGGAGGCTGTGTGACTGGCCCAAGGTCACCCAGCAAGCTGCCACGGCAGAGGGGGGATTCGAACCTGGTCCTCCAAGATCCCGGCCCCCACGCTCTAACCACTCCACCATGGTGGTTCTCCAGAGCTGCAAGGTGAGTCCTCCTGATTCTTATATAATCTTATGTATCTATGTTTTAATTTATGTATGGATTTTAATTCTATATATTGATCCTAAATGTCATGTATTGTACAACCAGGCCTTTGGTTGAGGCAGCGGATGTCCAGTTTGGTGTTGTGGTTAAGTGCGCGGACTCTAATCTGAGAGAACCGCGTTTGATTCCCTGCTTAACATAAGAAAATAAGAGACGCCAATGTTGGGTCAGGCCCATCCAGTCCAACACTCTGTGTCACACAGTGGCCAAAAATACCAGGTGCCATCAGGAGGTCCAGCAGTGGGGCCAGGACATTAGAAGCCCTCCCACTGTTGCCCCCCCCAGCACCAAAAAGACAGAGCATCACTCGCCCCAGAGCCCCTATCTATGGCTAAGAGCCACTGATGGACCTCTGCTCCATATGCTTATCTAATTCCCTTTTGAAGCCGTCCATGCTTGTAGCCGCCACCACTTCCTGTGGCAGTGAATTCCACGTGTTCATCACTCTTTGGGTGAAGAAGTACTTCCTCTTATCCGTTCTAACCCGTCTGCTCAGCAATTTCATGGAGTGCCCACGAGTTCTTGTACTGTGAGAAAGGGAGAAAAGTACCTCTTTCTCTACCTGCTCTATCCCATGCATAATCTTATAAACCTCAATCATGTCTCCCCTCAGTCGTTGTTTCTCCAAGCTAAAGAGCCCTAAGTGCCTTAACCTTTCCTCATAGGGAAAGTGTTCCAACCCCTTTATCATTCGAGTTGCCCTTTTCTGCACTTTTCCCAAAGCTATAATATCCTTTTTAAGGTGTGGTGACCAGAACTGCACACAGTATTCCAAATGAGGTCGCACCATTGATTTATATAGGGGCATTATGATATTGGCTGATCTGTTTTCAATACCCTTCCTAATAATCCCCAGCATAGCATTGGCCTTCTTTATTGCAGTCACACACTGTCTTGACATTTTCAGTGAGTTATCTACTACAACTCCAAGATCTCTCTCTTGATCTGTCTCTGCCAGTTCAGACCCCATCAATGTGTATTTATATTTAGGATTTTTGGCTCCAATGTGCATCACCTTGCACTTGGCCACATTGAACCCCATTTGCCATGTTGACGCCCACTTGCCCATCTTTGACAGATCCCTTTGGAGTGCCTCACAATCCTCACTGGTTTTCACCACCCTGAACAACTTCGTATCATCCGCAAATTTAGCCACTTCACTGCTTACTCCCAACTCCAAATCATTAATGAACAAGTTAAAAAGCAGTGGACCAAGTACTGATCCCTGCGGTACCCCACTGCTTACCCCCTCCACTGAGAAAATTGCCCATTTATACTCACTCTCTTTCCTATTAATCAGCCAGTTTTTGATCCATAAAAGGACTTGTCCTTTTATCCCATGATTTTTGAGCTTACTTAGGAGCCTTTGATGAGGAACTTTATCAAAAGCTTTCTGGAAGTCAAGGTAAACAACATCTATTGGGCACCCCTTGTCCACATGTTTGTTCACCCCCTCAAAGAACATGTTAGTGGGACTTCCGGTACGGCGTTGAACCGGACAGGCGCGTCGCGCTTCGCCGGAGCCTCCGCGGCTTCCAGGAGCCCCCCGGGTGTCCTGGGTGGGCTTCTCCCGACCCCTCTGGAGGAGGGGTTGGCAGCAGAGGGCTTGTGGCGGCCCCTCCCCGAATTCGGCAAACGGGGGGTGTCCATCAGTGCCCTAAGCGGGACCGCGATATGGTCGAGGCAGGGTTTCCCATGCCTCCAAGCAACAACCATCCGGACTTTTTAACTTGATGGATTATTTTTTGATTTTGAGCGTTGGTTTTCGTATCACACTTTGGAGATTTGTTGGTATGCACTATTTTTGAACTGGAACCTTACCGTCTCATGTCAGGACTTTCCCCACTGGTGTAAGAAAAACGGCCGGAGCAAGTACAAGGGAACTGAGAGAAAAAAGGCTCGAGGGGGTAAGAGCCAAAACGGTTACTGGAAATAAAATGTGTTTTATTTAGCAAAGTGGGAAAATAATAATAGTAGAACTGGTTGCTTTGGAAGCGCTAAGGAACGTATTTACTAAAGTACCGCCGCAGATTGGTGAAACCCGGTGAGAAAATGGCAGCAGCGTCTGTTTGTGAGGAAGTAATCTTGAAACTTAAAGAGGAACTCAGATCGGAACAGTTTCAAGAAAGCTTGAGAGAAGAGATAGGTAAAGCATTGCAATTGGTATGGAGCAAGGATTTTGGAAATTCCCAGCCTTTCGGTGTAGCAGACAAAGGTATTGAAGAACTAACTCAAGAGATACAAGATCAAATTGGCTTGCAGCAGGTGACACAGACAGAAAAACAGCGAGAAATGCCGGAGCCGCAACGTTTACAGATAGAAGCAGGGGTAAAAGGAACGGCTCGGATAAGAGGGACTTTGGAAAGTGGGAAAAAGCAAAAAAAAGGAAGGACAAAAAACTGGTGGTTTAAGTCTTCTAGGAAAGAGAAAACTGCAGAAAAGAGGCGGAAAACAAAGAAAAATATGAAAAAATTCGGAGACATCAATCAACTGAATGGGGACGAAAATATTTTTGGAAAGGACTACTCATTGAATTTCTTAAAGGAGTATAAAAATGCTCGGCACCGGCAAGAAAATGCAGAAAATCAACTTAAAAAGGAACTTTTTGAGATTTATAACAGACAGGGAGTATATGGAAAAGGTATTGGGTTAAGTCCTAAGGGGGCCAACATTAGTATGGATAGCAGAAATATTTTGGTGAAGCAAGATTTAAGGAAATGGAGTTAGTTTTGTAACTAAATAAATTTTGCTGTTAGCATATGTAGTACTAATATTTGTATGAAATGGATTATATAAGGAACAGTATTATCTGGACTTTGTATAGTGGGTCAGTTATAAACGTGAGTAATGAATATAATCAGGTTAGTTGAAGGAGAACTCTATTATATAATCTAAAATGAATTTTTTTTTCCTCTTCTCCCTCAATTTAGAATAAATGGTAAACAATTAAGTTGAGGGTTTAATTTTTGAATGAATTATAATAGACTTGATGTTATTAAAAGCATAAAATAGGAGATAAAATCTATAAGTTAAAATGGTTTAGATTATGTTGTATTAGAGCTGTTTTTTGTGTAAGAAAATGGGCCCAGTTTGAAATTTAACAGAGTGCTCTTCCTAAGTAGAAGTAAGATGAAGTTTAAGTCGGGTATAAGATAGGACAGGATGATTAAGCTGTAATTCTGTTAACTGTTGGAAGATTTAGTGGGTGATTAAGGCCTGAATGGTTAACAACTAAGATTGAGAGATATTATATCCGGAGGGTCACTGCGGTGTGAAGCATGGTGGTATAAATAATTCTGCTGGTGTGACCTTGGGTTAGTCACAGGTTCTGTCAGAGCTGTTCTTGAAAAAGAGCAGTTTCTGTCAAGAGCTCTCTCAGCCCCACCTACCTCACAGGGTGTCTGTTGTGGGGAGGGGAAGGGAAAGGAGTTTGTAAGCCGCTCTGAGACTCCTTTGGGTAGTGAAGGGCGGGGGATAAATCCACTCTCTTCTCTTCTTCTATACGGCCTCCCTGAGGTGTTTTTCACCTATCCATCTATTAACTACAAGCATGGACGGCTTCAAAAGGGAATTAGATAAGCATATGGAGCAGAGGTCCATCAGTGGCTATTAGCCACAAGGTATAGATAGGGGCTCTGGGGCAAGGGATGCTCTGTCTTCTTGGTGCTTGGGGGGGGGGGCAACAGTGGGAGGGCTTCTAATGTCCTGGCCCCACTGGTGGACCTCCTGATGGCCCCTGGTATTTTCAGCCACTGTGTGACACAGAGTGTTGGACTGGATGGGCCTTTGGCCTGACCCAACATTGGCTTCTCTTATGTTCTTATGTTCTTAAGCCAAGTTATATGCCAAGGAACCGTACAACCGGTGACTGTCAGAAGTGTGACTGAGTTTCAATGTTTATTATTGCTTGAATTCCTAACTTGTTTAGTTGTAATTGTTTTTAATCATACTGTTTTTACGATGTGACCCGCCCTGAGCCCGCTTACGGGGTGGGTGGGCTATAGACACAAATAATAAACAAATAAATAAAGTGAGGCCTGAAAGTGTGTGTGTGTGTGCGCATGTGAAATGCCTGCCCAGCCTCGGCCTCTGGACTCCTCCTCCTCCCCATCGGTCCCCCCCCCCCAGCCAGCCTCGGACCCTACCTGGTACTTGTTGGTGGAGTTGAAGGGGATCTCCGTCACTTTGGGATTCCTTTCGCGCATCTTCTTGACAGACCCACAAGACAACTGGATGCATTTCAGGAGCGCGGATTCGGAGGCATCGCCAGCTGTGTCCCTCTGCGATGAGAGGGAGGGAGGGAGGGAGGGAGAGGAAGAACATGGGCACGGGGTGTCAGGAGAGGGAGTCTGGAGCAGCACACCATCCGAGGAGGAGGACCGGGGAAGGCGCCTGCCAGGGCAGCGTTCTGCAGGAGGCCAGGGTGGGAGTCTTGTCTGTCTTCTCCTCGTCCTTTTGCTTAGCTCGCGAGGGGGGGGGGCACAGACACTTGCAGCCCCTTCTGCACCAGGCCGCTGCAGCACTTCCCCAGGAGAGGGGAGGGGCCGGGCATGCGGGCCTGACTGCAGGGGTGTGTGTGCTCCTAGATGGCCTTGGGACCAGTGTTCCCTCTAAGCTGAGTGAGTGTGAGCTAGCTCAGTTTTTTTAGCCTCCGGCTCGCACATTTTTGTCTCAGCTCAGAAAGGATGTGGCTCCAGAGAGCAAACTGATTTATGCAGCAGCCGAATCGCTCGGTCACCACTTTAATGCCAGGAGCCCTCAAAGTAGAATGTTTGCCCACAAGACTCCAAAGCTTAGAGGGAGCCTTGCTTGGGACCTCTTCCTTTCCTCCTGGGGCGGCCCCGCAGTTGGAGCCCTTCCTGGGAAGAAGGAGGGAGGCTCTCCTCCCAGAGGAAGCTGTCTGTGGGGAAGCCGGGGGGGCGGGGGGCGGAGGGACCCCCCCCCAGCAGTGCAGCTGTGCTCACCCAAGGCTCTGTCTGAGCGTGCCTCCAGCCTACCTTAGAGATGGGGACATTCTCCTGCCCTGCTTTGAAGACGGCGCGGTTGCAGAGGGCAGCGATGCGGGCGAGGGCCGTCCAGGTGGCAGAGCGCTTGTCAAACGTTGCCCCTAGGAAGAGAAAGGGGGGGGCGTGAGCTCTTCAGAGCAGGGCTCCGGCAGGCAACCGCTCCCCTCTCGGGGGGGGGGGCACCAGCTGGTGGGGGGCTGGAGGCGGTGCAGAGAGAGGCCGGGCGCTGTCAAAGGGGTCCCCGGGCCTGTTCCCAGCAACAGTCCCTGTGCGGCCTAGACCCGGCCCCCCAACGCTGCTGACGTTACCCTCCCCACTGAGGCTGGCGCTGGGTGAGGGAATTCCTGGGAGTCTGAGGGCGGAGCCTGGGGAGGGGGGGTCTCAGGAGGGGGAAGGGGCACCGCAGGGATGTGATGTCACAAGAGTCCGCCCTCGGGAGCGGCCATTCTCCTCCAAGGGAACTGATTTCTGTAGTCTGGAGTTCAGTTCAGTTATAATTCTGGGAGAACTCCATGCCCCACCTGGTGGTTGGCAACCCTATTCCCTGCCCTTCTCCCCCCCCCCCAAATAAAAATATTCCACTTCTTCCTTCTTAAGCCATGGGCAACCCCTGTTGGCCTGTCTATCTGCAACCTGGGTATTAAACTAAGTAACTGAAGTAAACTGGTTTGTTGTTTACATGCAATAATACGCCATTAACAATGCATATATTCTAATAATGAAGGAGGAGGAGGAGGAGAAGAAGAAGAGGAGGAGGAGGAGGAGTTTGGATTTATACCCCGCCCTTCCCTCGGAGTCTCAGAGTGACTCACAAACTCCTTTCCCTTCCCTTCCCCACAACAGACACCCTATGAGGTGAGTGGGGCTGAGAGAGCTCTTTCCAGAACTGTCCTTGAGAGAACAGCTCTTTGTCAGAACTACGGCTTGCCCAAGGTCATCCAGCCAGGTGCAAGTGGAGGAGAGGGGAATCAAACCCGGTTCTCCCAGATCAGAGTCCGCGCACTTAACCACCACACCAAACTGGCTCTTATAATATAGATAAAATATTATATGTTCTAATATAGTCTTCTACACGGTGCTTCAGTGACTCAGTCTAAGCATCCACACCGTGGTCCTTGGCTACTGCCATATGGGCACAGCAATGCTAGCCCACCTGACAGGGCTGTGGTGCACAGTGCTGACGTGAGCTCAGTCAGAGTGCCCATAAATGTTTTCACCTCTCTGACCTGTTCGGGGTGTGCCACACTGGCTCCGTTGCAACACTAACGTGCCCACTGCAGATGCTCAGAGGTGCACTCTCTCCCAGTCAACCCCGAGAGAAGTCCAGGGTGTGAGACCCTCCCACTGAGCCCCACCCCAGCATGCTGCCTTGACAGCTGGGGAGAGAGCGCGGCCTACAGTAGCACGCAGGGCCCCCCCAGCCCAGCCTCACCGCTCTGGTCCTCGGTGGTGTCCGCTTCGTGAATCTGGTTGTCGAACCACATGTGGGCCACTGTCATGCGGTTCTGGGTGAGGGTGCCCGTCTTGTCGGAGCAGATGGTGGAGGTGGAGCCCAGCGTCTCCACAGCCTCCAAGTTCTTGACGAGGCAGTTCTTGCGGGCCATGCGCTTGGCCGTCAGAGTCAGGCACACCTGAGGGAGGGGGGGAGGAAAGGCCCGTGAGCCAAGGGGCTGGCGGTCAATCCGGGAGGGACGTGCCCCCCCTGCCCTTCTGCCCTCCCCGAGTCCCCCTTCTCCACTATATGACCCAAAGTTAGGCTGAGGGCAGAAGGCCACCCAGGGAGCTTTGGAGCGGAGGCAGGGTTTGAATCCAGGGCTCCTTGGACTTTTAGCCCTGTTTCAGGCAGGGGTCATTTCCTGCAGGAGCGCAAAGGAGCAGAGCTCCGGCAGTAAAGAGCCTAGGGGGCGGGCACATGCAACAAGCCCCACCACCTGCTCCCAGCAGCCCTCAGTCGGAGCAAGAAGCAGCCAGGTAAGCTGCAGAGCCTCCCTCCTGGCCCCCCGGTCCAAAAGTCCAGTGGCGCCTTTAAGGCCAAGTTTTATTCAGGTACAAGCTCTCCCTCCTCTGTGAAGGCAGATCCTGCGCATTCCCCCCCCCATAGCTAGCAATCCAAAGCAGTCCAGTGGCACATTTAAGACCAAGTTTTATTCAGGTACAAGCTCTCCCTTCTCTGTGAGGACAGATCTGCGCATCTCCCCCCCCCAACAGCTAGCAATCCAAAACAGTCCAGTGGCACCTTTAAGACCAAGTCTTATTCAGGCACAAGCTCTCCCTCCTCTGTGAGGACAGATCTGCGCGTTCCCCCCCCCAACAGCTAGCAATCCAAAACAGTCCAGTGGCACCTTTAAGACCAAGTCTTATTCAGGTACAAGCTCTCCCTCCTCTGTGAAGGCAGATCCTGCGCATTCCCCCCCC